GTCTCTCTTCCTAGTTGGTGTTGGCTTTAACAAATTGTCCATGTCTCGCAAATCTCCAGTTATTCAAATTAATTACGTTTCATAATTTTTCATTTTGAGGAAGGTAAGTTTTCCTAAACGTGATGCATATACTTTCTGCGTTCTGTCTTACCAGAATCTAATTGTGCAAATCATTTTTGGGCTGTTCTTTTTGCTACTGCATATCGCATTTTCTTACACACTACAAACTGAAGCCAGTCAAAAGCTTCCACAACTTTGAAACTCACTTTAAAGGCGTAAAGTCGACAATCTCGGGTCACATTCATCGCATTCAACCCGCACTTTATTGTGTGGGAGACCAAAGTAGTAGGAAAGTGGAGTTGGAGTCCAATAAAGGTACCACTAGGCCAACACCCGTCCTTCACAATGCGTGCATATTAACCGTCTCATTTCAAAAATCATGCATACCACAATCAGAAATGCTAGCATTTATTTTCCGAGTTCATATTTTTCTTAAGTGAAACCTATACTACCCAGCTGCTGTGTTCCGTGTCCACTGTGGTTTGGCGTTTGAGGTATAGTCTAACGCACCACTTGATATAGGTGTGCTAGTCTGTTTACTAGCGATTTGAAGGTCTGGTAGACCGAAGTTGTAGACGTTGTAAAAGGCAATTAGTGGAAGACTGAGTGGATTGGTGCTCCTGTATCCGTTATTAAACTATTCTACAACAGTAGACTTGAGGAAACCAAGTATGGTTTTGCAATACGTTCCGTCTCCATAGCACCCACAAGGGTTTTCTAGCCATCATCCCTAAACTTGTAATAACCTACATTTCTTTGTTGCTTTGAACTCAATACACACGTATTTATTCGTTATTTTGTCTCTTACATGTCACTTGGACGGGTTGCCATTTCTGTATACTTTTTCACTGTAATCTTTATGTAAATCTGCAGTCACTAGTCCGTTCTTTTCCATTCTTATTTGTCTTAGTAGAACTATGAATGGTTTTTGCTTCAGAATCTTTATTTTAATTGTGTTCTCTGTCCATTTTGAATGACATTCTTCGTGAATGACGTGTCTTCTTCCCCCGTGGTCTTTGTCTGCACCGTATGGTGTACCTCCAGTTCACAAAGCCGCTCGTCATCTCTTCCTTGAATCCCTTTACGTACTCACAAATGGCCCTCTTTTGACTCTGCCTTTCACTTAAAGTTGCCTTTAATCTGTTGTGGTGGTTTTCTCCTTGCAGTGTGCACAATTTCCAACCTTTTCCATCCCGCAACCCCAGGTAAATCCTTTACCACAAGCAGCAGCACTGCGATTTCCATAACCCCGCTGAATTTATTCATGGACGTGCCTTGCATGAGTCACGTCCGAAGTTTGGCCCATCGCAGCATGACTAAGCTTCTGTCCATCCTTGTTAAAGAGGCAAAACCTCTCAAACTTCCATGTGAAATTTCGTCTTTATTATTATTATGCCTGTAGATATCCTAAAGTTTTCGAGGGTTTTAATCCCCTAAACTTTTTCCTAGTCTACTCTTAATTTTTCGTTGTCTGTTTAAATTGAACTTTTATTTCCTAATGAATCGTTGAGCTATGATTTACATGAGATATTTGTTCTAGAGGCCAATGCTGATTGTTTTTTATTTATATTATAGGGATCAAAGCGGGTGAAGTACTACAACGACTCAAGTCGGTGCATGCATCATTAGACGCTGATTTATCCACAGTGCCCATCACCTACGCCGGTTTGCTAATAGACGGAAATGTGGACGGAGAATTTGCTCTAGTTGGCCTGTTTTATCACCACTTTGTGGAGAGACACGCGAGAGAGGTTATCAAAACTCTCTCCACGCGTTCGGTAGGTGGGCATTTTGCATCACTTCACCAACTTCCTGACCATCAATTACATAACTATAAGATGACTGTTAAAATGACTCTAACATTAAGGTGCTTGCTTGATTTTATCGGTGAACAGATGGTTTATTTCCTTCCCCTTTTCAGGACATCTTTTCCCTCCCTCTAAGGGTCGAATATGTTAATTAATCTTGCAATTTAGAAGGGAGTATTTGACTTGTGCAGTTGACCGGAAATCTCCATGCTTGTTTAAGTACGATTTGAAGCTGCAAATTTATTCCGTATCGTTGAACTGAACGTTATGGAGACTGACGTAATAAGGCATGTCAGCTTGAGGATAGATTGTTCACAATTACAAACCCGATTAAAGTCTCTCACGTCTTTGACAACTCGTTTCTTTTGTTATCGCTTGTTTTGTAGGTCTACTTGGTACGAACGCGATCTCTTCAGTACTCACGTGAGGATATTACGAGAATTTTTGGGGATTCTACGCTGGCTTCCCACTCCTTGCTCGGTAAGCTCCTCTTACAATGCATTGAATGCTGTTTGATGGTTTTTTATGCTCATACCATTGGTAACTCCTTCTGTCAACAACACGGGTTTACGCCTGCATAATACCGATTTAGTATTTTCCACTAGGCTGTGATGTGAGCGGATGGTCTGTGCAGGCCTTTACTTTGAATATTTGGTGGATTTGTCTATCCTACTGAATTTTACCAAGCTTTAACTGCTAAAATGGCTTATCTACTCTTGGAAGCGCTATAAGTCTACGGGTGACTGTTGTCAATGTTTAGATTACTGTCATAAGTGCCATGAGTAGATCTCCGTGGTTTCCTTGGTGTCTTTTGAGATTGATCAAGTGTAGTGGTAATCGCAACAGCACTCGACTGGAGACATAAACGAGTATTATGTGGTGACCTTCTATCACATTGACAAGACTTCCAACTGATAGATTTTGCCGGGGTCCTTTGCTGGTAAAGCAGATACCTAACTTACGCTTAAGGCTGGACGATGTTCCACAGCTTGCACACTTTATTAATGAAACGCATTTTGTAGGATCATTTACTTATTCACAATGAAGCAGGTCTTCTGAGCTTCGCCCTAATTCCACACCTCCGCCTTTTCATGTCATTTTTTTATACTATCGAATCATGCTTTTTGGTTATTCTCAAATCCTTTTAACGTGGAATGTTGCTGCTTCTCCTCATTTTTCTCATAGGTACTTTTGATTCGTTTAATCCTAGTCATTCTTTCATCACTATCTGTGATGCAAGATTTGTAAGTACAGCAGAGAATGTCTAGATAAGGTCATGAAGGTTTTATAGTATAATCAAATTAACCGCCG